GCCACTCCCGTATGAGCGACCTGCTGGGACGACGGGGATTGGAGCAGAGAGAGGAAGGGAGGGAGGAGAGGACGGGGATGTGAAGGGCAATGAGAAAAGAGGGAACACAGGGCAGGGAGCATCAAGCGAAGTGAGCATGGGCAGAAAACCAAGCAGCAGCGAGAGTGAAGGAAGAACAGACATTCAAGCATCTGTGGCAGGGAGGGGAAAAGAGGCTCACCTTGTTTCAGACAACCCAGCCCGATACTCTCCCTTCCCACCCCAGCCGAGTGGAGTGCTGCCCCCCTCCCCTCCCACCACTGCCACCTGCACGGCCACAGGGGAGGAGCGCGAGGGAGCGGCGGTGTTGACCCCCACGCCCCTCCCCTCAACGAAAAGGAGAGAACTGAAGAGAAGTGAGTATGCGGCTAGGGGTAGAAATGTGAGAGGAGTGCATGGGTGGGGTGGGGTGGGATGGCAGGTGAGAGCAGAGAAGGGGGCCACTGGTGCAGCCTCAGCTACAAGCCACAGATCCGAGGGGGGTACACACCTGGGAGGCTTACCTGCAGACCTGAGAGTATACCTGTAATACCTGGGGGGATTTACCCAAGAATAAGGGTCTGTGGCTTGATGCTTTGGCTCAACAAGAGGCTTGCATTTGAAGAGACAAGAAAACAGGAGATGCAGCAAGGATGAACGTGGAAAGCAAACGAACTCGAGAGAGATTGGGAGGAGAAAGTGAGGGCGGATACTCAGCTGTGGGTGGGTTGGGTGGAGAGCAGCTGCCGTTGCACTCCATGTCCCCCGCCACTGCCACTCCCGTATGAGCGACCTGCTGGGACGACGGGGATTGGAGCAGAGAGAGGAAGGGAGGGAGGAGAGGACGGGGATGTGAAGGGCAATGAGAAGAAAAGAGGGAACACAGGGCAGGGAGCATCAAGCGAAGTGAGCATGGGCAGAAAACCAAGCAGCAGCGAGAGTGAAGGGAGAACAGACATTCAAGCATCTGTGGCAGGGAGGGGAAAAGAGGCTCACCCTGTTTCAGACGACCCAGCCCGATACTCTCCCTTCCCACCCCAGCCGAGTGGAGTGCTGCCCCCCTCCCCTCCCACCACTGCCACCTGCACGGCCACAGGGGAGGAGCGCGAGGGAGCGGCGGTGTTGACCCCCACGCCCCTCCCCTCAACGGAAAGGAGAGAACTGAAGAGAAGTGAGTATGCGGCTAGGGGTAGAAATGTGAGAGGAGTGCATGGGTGGGGTGGGGTGGGATGGCAGGTGAGAGCAGAGAAGGGGGCCACTGGTGCAGCCTCAGCTACAAGCCACAGATCCAAGGGGGGGTACACACCTAGGGAGGCTTACCTGCAGACCTGAGAGTATACCTATAATACCTGGGGGGGTTTACCCAAGAAAAGGGGTCTGTGGCTTGATGCTTTGGCTCAACAAGAGGCTTGCATTTGAAGAGACAAGAAAACAGGAGATGCAGCAAGGATGAACGTGGAAAGCAAACGAACTCGAGAGAGATTGGGAGGAGAAAGTGAGGGCGGATACTCAGCTGTGGGTGGGTTGGGTGGAGAGCAGCTGCTGTTGCACTCCATGTCCCCCGCCACTGCCACTCCCGTATGAGCGACCTGCTGGGACGACGGGGATTGGAGCAGAGAGAGGAAGGGAGGGAGGAGAGGACGGGGATGTGAAGGGCAATGAGAAAAGAGGGAACACAGGGCAGGGAGCATCAAGCGAAGTGAGCATGGGCAGAAAACCAAGCAGCAGCGAGAGTGAAGGAAGAACAGACATTCAAGCATCTGTGGCAGGGAGGGGAAAAGAGGCTCACCTTGTTTCAGACAACCCAGCCCGATACTCTCCCTTCCCACCCCAGCCGAGTGGAGTGCTGCCCCCCTCCCCTCCCACCACTGCCACCTGCACGGCCACAGGGGAGGAGCGCGAGGGAGCGGCGGTGTTGACCCCCACGCCCCTCCCCTCAACGGAAAGGAGAGAACTGAAGAGAAGTGAGTATGCGGCTAGGGGTAGAAATGTGAGAGGAGTGCATGGGTGGGGTGGGGTGGGATGGCAGGTGAGAGAGAGAAGGGGGCCACTGGTGCAGCCTCAGCTACAAGCCACAGACCCAAGAGAGGTACACACCTAGGGAGGCTTACCTGCAGACCTGAGAGAATACCTGCAGTACCTGGGGAAAATTACCCAAGAAAAAGGGGTCTGTGGCTTGAAGTTTCGGCTCAACCAGCGGCTTGCGTTTGAATGCACAAGCGACAGGAGATGCAGCAAGGACTGAAATGGACCAAAAATGAACGCAAGAGGCAGCGCAGGTACTTAGCTTAGCAGCGGGTGGGTTGGGTGGAGAGCAGGTGCTGCTGGTGCACTCCATGTCCCCCGCCACTGCTGCTCCCGTGTGAGCGACCTGCTGGGACGAGAGGGGGCAGGTCGGGACAGAGAGAGGAAGGGAGGAGGGGGGGCAGAAAAACGGGGAAGTGAAGGGGGCGCAGAGGGAGAGCAGTGAGGAAAGAAGCCAAGACAAGTGAAAGTGAAGAGTGCAGCAAGCGCAAGCATGATGCGTGCATGAATGGACTGCTGCAGTGGCACACCCAAGAGACCTCGTACCGTCTGAACCAAACAAAAACAAATACCTGAGGCTGTACCAAGAAAAAATACCTACTACCTTGGGGGAGGGAGGTCTAATGGGTGTGACAAAGAGCAGTGAAAAAGGGAGTGTAATGCATGGTGCAAGCATGACAAGCAAAGCAACACAGTGCGAGGGTTGGGAGAAGAGAGGAAGGGCGGGGTACTTAGCTGTGGGTGGGTTGGGTGGAGAGCAGTTGCTGCCTTTGCACTCCATGTCCCCCGCCACTGCCACTCCCGTGTGAGCGACCTGCTGGGACGAGAGGGGGCAAGTAGGGACAGAGAGAGGAAGGGTGGAGGGGGGGCAGAAAAACGGGGAAGTGAAGGGGGCGCAGAGGAGTGGGGAGAGCAGTGAGGAAAGAAGCCAAGACAAGTGAAAGTGAAGAGTGCAGCAAGTGCAAGCATGATGTGTGCATGAATGGACTGCTGCAGTGGCACACCCAAGAGACCTCGTACCGTCTGAACCAAACAAAAACAAATACCTGAGGCTGTACCAAATAAAAATACCTACTACTTTGGGGGAGGGAGGTCTAATTGGTGTGACAAAGAGCAGTGAAAAAGGGAGTGTAATGCATGGTGCAAGCATGACAAGCAAAGCAACACAGTGCGAGGGTTGGGAGAAGAGAGGAAGGGCGGGGTACTTAGCTGTGGGTGGGTTGGGTGGAGAGCAGTTGCTGCCTGTGCACTCCATGTCCCCCGCCACTGCCACTCCCGTGTGAGCGACCTGCTGGGACGAGAGGGGGCAGGTCGGGACAGAGAGAGGAAGGGAGGAGGGGCGGGGAGAAAACGGGGTAGTGAAGGGGGCACAGAGGAGTGGGGAGAACAGTGAGGAAAGAAGCCAAGACAAGTGAAAGTGAAGAGTGCAGCAAGCGCAAGCATGATGCGTGCATGAATGGACTGCTGCAGTGGCACACCCAAGAGACCTCGTACCAGCTGAACCAAACTAAAACAAATACCTGAGGCTGTACCAAGAAAAAAAAAACCTACTACCTTGGGGGAGGGAGGTCTAATTGGTGTGACAAAGAGCAGTGAAAATGGGAGTGTAATGCATGGTGCAAGCATGACAAGCAAAGCAATGCTGTGCGAGGGTTGGGAGAAGAGAGGAAGGGCGGGGTACTTGTGCCTGTAAAATAATATTCGGTATTCGAGAACTATTCGATATTCGTTCGAATACCTGAATTCGAGAGAATAAGAAACGACCATGTATTCGAAAATATTCGCATCACGGGTATTCGTGAATGTAGAATATTCGGGTAACGCATATTCGAGGTATTCGTTACTATTCGGTATTCGGTAGTCTGTGTACCAGAGGTCGTGTGAGAGCTGTGCAAGAAAGTAGCTGGAGAGGGTCGTGGTGTTGGTAGTATAAGGTACATTGTATCACCCTGTGTCGCGCTGCCTCTACAAGGATTTCGGTATTCGAAATTTAATCGTATTCGATTCGGATTCGGCAATATTCGAATCGTATTCGTATTTGGTTTTGGGTCAGTATTCGTATCGTATTCGTATTCGAGTTTGGGCCAGTATTCGGTCAAATAAGAAACAACGCATTATTCGGAGAATAGGGTGAAAAAATATTCGTATTCGTATTCGTATTCGTTTTTACAGGCTGTGGGTGGGTTGGGTGGAGAGCAGTTGCTGCCTGTGCACTCCATGTCCCCCGCCACTGCCACTCCCGTGTGAGCGACCTGCTGGGACGAGAGGGGGCAGGTCGGGACACAGGGGGGAAGGGAGGAGGGGGGGCCGAAAAACGGGGAAGTGAAGGGGCCGCAGAGGAGTGGGGAGAACAGTGAGGAAAGAAGCCAAGACAAGTGAAAGTGAAGAGTGCAGCAAGCGCAAGCATGATGCGTGCATGAAGGGACTGCTGCAGTGGCACACCCAAGAGACCTCGTACCAGCTGAACTAAACAAATACCTGAGGCTGTACCAAGAAAAAAAATACCTACTACCTTGGGGAGGGAGGTCTAATGGGTGTGACAAAGAGCAGTGAAAAAGGGTTTGTAAGGCATGGTGCAAGCATGACAAGCAAAGCAATGCAGTGCGAGGGTTGGGAGAAGAGAGGAAGGGCGGGGTACTTAGCTGTGGGTGAATTGGGTTGGGAGGAAAGCAGTAGCTGCCTGTGCACTCCGTGTCCCCTGCCACTGCCACTCCCGTGTGAGCGACCTGCTGGGACCAGAAGGGGGCAGATCGGGACAGAGAGAGAAAAGGGAGGAGTGGAGGGTGGGACTGGGGATGTGGAAGTTGAACAGAGGAGTGTGGGGAGCAAAGCGGAAAGAAGAAAAGACGAGTGGAGTGAAGAGGGAGCGAAGAGTGCAGCAAGTGCAAACATGATGCGTGCATGAATGGACTGCTGCAGTGGCACACCCAAGAGACCTCGTACCAGCTGAACCAAACTCAAACGAATACCTGAGGCTCCTGGTACTTGAACGCGTTGAGCACCTGGTACTTGAACGCGTTGAACTGCGTGAAGTTCATTCGCGGCGCCGTCACCACGCCATCCTTCACCATCGCCTCCTGGGCTTTTGCCCGTGAGTGAGACCACCTGGGGAGGAGGTCAGGGCAGAGCCATGCGTGGGGAAAGGAAAGCGGGGCATGGGGGATGGCGCCCCAGTTGCAAATCTTTAAGACGTAACGAAATATTCAAGACGTCTCGAAGCTAGTGTGCTCCCAAGAAGCGCAGCCTCACCTGTTGATGTGCGCGTCCATGAGGGAAGGGTGTGCGTCGGAGATGCGGTGCAGGCGAATACGGGGGTTGGCGCCCCAGTTGCCGTCGATCAGCTGGTACGACGTGGTCTTGCCGCGGAACACTGCCCGCGCCTCCTTGCGCTCCCATGGGATCTGAATGGTGAGGGAGGGGGGACGAGGGGGGAGCGGGAAGGAGAATGGGCCATGGAGTCTTTGAGGCGCCTAAACAATCGAAGGGTCTTGCTGTGGAACACTGCGCGCGCCTCCTTGCGCTCCCATGGGATCTGAACGGCGAGAGACATGGGGCATGGGGCATGGGCCATGGGGCATGCGGCCGTTAGGCCAGTGCTCATCATGGGAGGGGATGCCGTGGTCATCATAGAGAAGCAGTACAGCAGCACACACGCACACACAACTTGCTCTTACCCACCTGTGTGGCCAGATCCGGAGTGTAATCCTCAGTGAGGTCAAGCGGATCAGGCACGGGGATGTCCATGGTAACAGCCATGAAGCCAGTGCTCATCATGCATGGGGATGAGATGCCATGCTGTGAGCAGTCATCATGCATGGGGATGAGATGCCATGCTGTGAGCAGTCATCATGCATGGGGATGAGATGCCATGCTGTGAGCAGTCATCATGGAAAAGCAGTACCACAGCAAGCACACCCAACACACCCACCTGTGTGGCCAGGGCAGGCGTGTAGTCCTCAGTTGAATCAAGCGGGTCAGGCACGGGGATGTCCATGGTGTCAGCGGTGAATCCCGTGCTCATCATGGGGATGCCATGCCATGCTGTGCAACGGTAAGGCCACACAGGACAGTAGCAAGCACACACAGCACTCGCTCTCCCACCTGCGTGGCCAGGTCTGGCGTGTAGTCTTCAGTGAGGTCAAGCGGGTCGGGCACGGGGATATCCCCGGGTATCAGCAGTGAAGCCGGTGCTCATCATGGGAGGGGTGGGATGCCATGGCCATCAGGGAAAAGCAGTAGCACAGCAAGAACACACCATACACCCACCTGTGTGGCGAGATCCGGGGTTTAGTCCTCTGTGAGATCCAGCGGGTCAGGCACGGGGATGTCCATGGTATCAGCGGTGAAGCCCATGCTCATCATGGGGATGCCATGCCCTGCAACAGCAAGCCCACAGAGCACCCACTCACCCACCTGCGTGGCCAGGTCTGGCGTGTAGTCCTCGGTCAGGTCAAGCGGGTCGGGCACGGGGATGTCCATGGTGTCGGCAGTGAAGCCAGTGCTCATCATGGGGATGCCGGGGCGGTCGTCGATGTGGCTGCTGTAGAACGCCATGGGGTGGTCACACGTGTTCACAAACAGCTCAATGCGCATGTCTATGAGTTGATACCGCACCACCGCATCCTGACCAGGGAAAGGGGGGAGGGGAAGGGAGGGGGAGCGGGAGAAGTGGTGTCAGAGATGAGGCATTTTGTCAGCGGCGCTCAAGCGTCAAAAGCAGGGCTCCTGCCACAGGTGTTTGTGGGTGCCTTAAAGTGGCTGCTGTAGAACGCCATGGGGTGGTCGCACGTGTTCACGAACAGCTCTATGCGCATGTCCGACAGCTGGTAGCGTACCACCGCATCCTGACAGGTTGTGAAGGAGGTGAGAAAAGAAGGGCGGCAGAGGGGAAAATGGGAGGAGGGCCTATTGAGGGTATTGAGGGTAGGAGTGTGGGGGTGGTCGCATGTGCTCACATACTGCTCCAAGCTGGTACTGCACCACCGCGCCCTGACAGGAGTTGTCTTTAGTGTTAAGGGGGAGGTGGTGGAAGGGAAAGAAAGAGGTTGGGGAGTTCTGTGCTTTTGAGGCTGGGAGAAGGAGGTGAGGTAGGAATGCGGTGTGTCCACTGCGTTTGACTCATGTCCAGCCATGCCGTGCCATGCCATGCGATCCCATGCCATGCCATGCCATGCCATGCCATGAGCACTGCCCCTCAAAACCATTCGCACCATCATGCATAGCATATCCCTCCTTAGTAAAAAAACCCCAAGGCAGCGCAGACGCACGTGGATCATTTTGACGGTCTGCAGGAAGCGGTTGAGGCGGTAGTACTCGCGGAAGAAGCCCCCATAGCGGAAGAACACCCTGCCGTTGATCACCTTCACTTCACGTGCCCGTGTGTTTGACTCATGCCCACGAACTTGACCAGCGTTGACCCATGCCATGCCTTGCCATGCCACGCCACGCCATGCCATTCCGTGCCACGACTACCAAACCAGTCGCACCATCATGCATACTTCTACCCAACCAGCGTGGACGCACGTGGATCATTTTGACGGTCTGCAGGAAGCGGTTGAGGCGGTAGTACTCGCGGAAGAAGCCCCCATAGCGGAACAACATTCTCCCGCTGATCACCTTCACGTGCCCCCTGTGGTGAATCATGCCCACGAACCTGACCAGCATTGACCCGTGCGATGCTTTTCCATGCCATGTCATGTCATGCCATACCATGCCATGCCTACGCACGTGGATCATCTTGACGGTCTGCAGGAAGCGGTTGAGGCGGTAGTACTCGCGGAAGAAGCCCCCATAGCGGAAGAAAACCCTGCCGTTGATCACCTTCACATGCCCCGCGCACGACATGATGGCCGGCGTCTTGCTCATCCGCGCCAGCGCCTCTGGCGTCACCATGCCCGTCCTCCCCACTCCCGAGGTCAGGTTCTGCGTGAAGGGGAGATATGCAGACAGGAGATAGCGGTTCGAGGACAAGAGACATGATGGCGGGCGTCTTGCTCATCCGCGCCAGCGCCTCTGGCGTCACCATGCCCGTCCTCCCCACTCCCGAGGTTAGGTTCTGAGGGAGGGACAGGCTGAGGGATGCAGCGTGAACGGAAGGGTTATAAACGAGGAAGATGAACCGGCGCTTGCCCTTTCGAGTGAGTGCCACTGTGGCCTTACAGACCACAGCTTCGGCAGGTTGATTGAATCAGTGCTGTGAGTAATCTTGAAGAGTCAACCTGACCTTGCTTGACCAACGATGTTCAGATGCGATTCAGCTGGTAGGGAGCTTACTGTACTGGCCTTGACACGCTTTTGAGGCGCCTCAAAGGCCTGCTAAAGTTCTGCCTGTACTGGCCTTGATAGGGCGCCACGGTTCCGGGTGCTTGTGGATCAGCTGCAGGTATTTAACCGCCGTGGGTTGAGCCAACACCTTCGAGACGACTCAAGAAGCATCAAAGGGCTGTGGTAGAATCCTGCCTGCACTGACTGACCTTGATAGGGCACCACGGTTCGAGGTATTTGTGGATCAGTTGCAGGTATTTAACCGCCATGGGTAGAGTCAACACCAGCCGCTTATACTGCGGAAGCCGGCCCAATAGCTCTTCATCCGGCGGCCGGAATTCACGGGGAAGGGGACACGTGCCTTGCGTGGCAGCCCTAGATTTCATCTCCTCCCACACGTCACGCGCTCCCCACCCGAGAACCACCAGCAACCCCGTTACTAGCACAAGCCGCGACCCAAACTGGTCCATGGATAGTCGAGATAGGCCTAGTCGCACCAACACTCTGTGGTACAGCGATCCTCCGTGGTACGCGCTGCCGAAGCCACGTGGACTGCCAGCCTGGCGGAACATCCCCTCGTCGAACGAACCGCCAGTGGGACTGTGCGCGTCGTGGCCGTGCTCGCGCTCATCATCCTCCTCGTCGCGGTATTCCCTAGGGCTTCGAGCTCCCGTCGCGCGCTCCTTGAGGTGCTGACTGCTGCTGTACCCTGCCACGGATCGACTGCTCGCACTCGCCATTTCCGTACGTGACGATTGGTTCGCGCTTGGCTATCAGGTGGGACGTGTTGCTGGTCCTACTTATCCGCACACAGCTGACTGGCTGACTGGTAGTAGAAGCTCGCGTATGTCAAAATTTTCCCACTGCAGGAAACAATGTGCGAGGTAAATCGCTACAGCGCAATTCCGGTATGCATTATGCCATGCAGGCCCGTGGCGTTGACAAGATTGCTAACTAGTTCATCTGGAAGCTTCATTGCCGGATTTGGAACTAGTGCAAGCGTCCTAGAACGGGATTCACCACCTTATGGCCAGTTTCGCGCAAACTCGCAATGCGAGCGTCTGTGACGGTCGTAGAGCGCATCACGTGCGAGTCATGGCGATGATAGGAAGACGCCGTCCAGTCAAATCTGCAATATTCTACGAAAAATAATAGGTCATGGTGGGCAAGGCACGTGATTGAGCACACGCAAATCCCCAGGTTCTCTCACCCGATTCCAAGGAGACCGTGGCGGTTCTGTTTTGATCAGGCAATCTCCAGGTGGTTGGTTGTTCTCTGTGCCAGATGCCACCGAGAGCGACGAAACGACGAACAGAGACAGATGCTATATTCTTTCGCGAAAACGTTTACGACAGTTGCACGAGGTATCGTGGCACTAACATTTGCCCTTCTCGCTGTATGCAAACGCGTTTTATGAAATGCATATTGCGCAAATTCACCCTTGTATGATGTAACATCATTTTTTGCTTAGCGAGGTCGAGGGTTCCGAACCTGTTTTAGTAACGATACCTTTTTGCACGAACCGCTGAATGACCCTTTGGTCCCAGCCCAGACCAGCCCAGGGCTTCAAGCCAAGGCGCGTTGAAAGACGACTTGTGCGCAAAAGTTCTTGTATGGGATGCAACACCTGCTAAAAGGGGCTTCAACTTGACTACATCGAGTTCGAAACAAACCAACAACCTCAACTGACGATGTTGACCGTCGATTATCGGCAGTACCTTCCATTGATGCACAACCCGCGTCGACCCCGTACTGCGCGATGCGAGCGCGCGTGTTCCCCAAATCAGCGCCTCGCCCCCCTGCATCCTGCGTCCTGTTCGACCCCGCCTGACTTGGAATCCGTCTCGCTGCGATTTCTCTCCCACATTTCAGCTCTAGATTTACGACTGCACACACGTCTCAAATGTCATTCTCATGACTGGTGTCTCTCTCGCATTTCTCAACTGACCTCCTCGATAGACCAATCCGCCCCCATTCAACCAGACTCTAGCATTGTCCACCACAAAGCGTAGACAGCATGTCAGACCGTAGCAACATCCCACCGAGTGCGCGCAACCCTCTCTACGGCGGGCCTTCGAACAAATCCTTCAACCGCACTCCCTCGTGGGCCTACAAGAACGGCGGAGACGGCGGGGATGGCAGCGATCAAGGCTCTCCGACCGCATCCCCCCTGCGCAGCCACCGCAACGCCTCTCAGTCCCCTTACTACGCGCCACAATACGAGAATCCAGGCTACACAGTCGAGACTCCGAGCGCATACGACCCGTACTTGATGTCCAGCGGGTCGATTCACGGCAGCCATCTGTACCGGCCAACGGAAACCTACTTCGTGCAGACTCCCGCGCATTCCATACGCGGTGCGCGCGTGGACGAGTCGCCGGAATCCTCGGCGCCGTCGTCGCCGCAGCATCCGGAGGGATACGCGGAGATGGGAGGAAAGTTCGGCGAAGAGGCGGTGTTCGACGATTCGGATCACGAGGATGAGTTTTACCCGGACATGCAGCGGGAGAAGTTCCGCAAGAAGCGCTTCAAGCAGTGCTTCTGCTTGTGGTCGCTGCTGGTCGTCGCGGCGCTCATCGTCGCGGGATGCATTACCGCGTGGGTCGTCTACCAGCCAACGCCGCCCACATACACCATGGATGTACGTCGGAAACGAAGAAATCGTCAATCGATTCGCTTCATTTCCTCCATTTCAATCCAATGCTCGCGGAGTTCTCAAATACCGCCGCCTGGCAGTTCTCCCCGTCCCAGGTCACTGGCTAACTTTCCATGCCCTTCCCGTGTCTTCCTCCCCCCCGCGTCCGCAGTACGCGATGGTGAACGAGTTTCAGACGTTTCAAGACATGCTGGACGGCAACGGGCTGCCCACGGACCAGCTGTACGCCAACCTCACGCTCATCTTCTCCATCCGCAACCCCAACACGCGCTATGTCTCGTGGTTCGACGGCGGTGAAGTGAGCCTCGGCTACAGCTCCATCAAGAGCATGATGAAGGGCCGCGTGAGTGATCCTCCCCACACATCGGCGTTACGTATCTTCGCCCATTTCGTCCATTTCGTCCATTGCCTTTCGCCCAAGGCATGACGTTCCTGTATTTCCCGCGTGTAGCTCCCCTACCCTACCCCTTCGCTATGGGCATTCCACCTTATCGGTTTCCGTATCGGCTGCCCCTTGTGCCATTCTTCGCGTCCGCAGTTCCCCAAGTTCAAGCAGAACCAGCTGGAGTGGAACAGTTTCAACGGGTCCGCCTCCACCATGGCCTTCCCCCTGTACGGCGGGGGCATGGCGCTGCGCTCCGACATGGGGGAGCAGTACGTTCCGCTCAGGCTGAACGCCACGCTGCGCGCGCACGTGGACGTGATCTGGAAGGTCGTTTCGCCGCAGTACACCCATTTGATGGAGTGTATTGTGAACATTAACCCCCTGGCGCTGCAGTACATCAACGACACATGTACTGTGACACAGATTTGAGCTGATTGTCTTGGTGGAACAACCCGTACTCCCCACTCATCCAGCAAGTAACAAGGAGAACAGCGCCATTCCTCTGCTTCCAGAGAAATTTTAGACCAGCCTCTTAGCCCCCTTTCCAATTGTTGCTTAGATTCCTTGTAGAAAGATGGGTTTGGGATCACATGATATCCACTGCACTTTGGACAAGGCCCCTCACTTGTTTGATCAATAAAGTATCATATTATTTCGTTGTGTTGCTTAGCTACCGTACTTCACCACGTCACATGAATGTTGCTTCCTGTATGTGCTGCTTTGTGCATTAGAAAGCATGTCTACCAATCTTGAATGTCATAGTGAACGGCTTCTGTCATGCATCATAATCCCCTGCATGCATCAGTAAAAGACTTATTTCAAAGCCCACATCCCATGCTGGTGCCCTCCTATGTTCCTTCAAGGTTAGTCAGCTCCTTCTGTCCAGTTTCCAAACAGTTACCCCCTTGTTAGAAAAAGGTTTGGGATTGGGGGTTTGAGTACAACTGTGCCAACGCATAACAAGAGACACATTCAGGGGGGGTCAAAAGTACGTTCTCGCAAAATGCCATACATAGCCATTCCAACGTTTCAGTAGATCGCCCTATATTGTAGAAATCCTCGTTGGACCACATCAGTACGTACTGTTGGGAGGGACATGCCCTTATAGTTGCTAGTTGAAGACAATCAAATATTTCGCTAGTTGCTAGAGTGTAGTACACTCAGTGTACACATCTGACTTCCTCGGCGATTGTGTCTGGCACCCATCCACCATCCATAGATATCATCCACAACCGAATCCGTGGGGATGGATGGATTTGCTACACTGCTGGCGGAACCATGATCATCCTGCTCCTGTGCTGGCTTGTGCCCTCCGCTCCGACATCGGTATTCTCCATTGGTCGCCCCTGTCAACACATCTCCCTGCCTTGGTTGTCTCACTTTGCTTCATTGTCAAACCCATCCTGCTCCAGGCGTGGATAGTTGAACCGCATCCTCGTTCTTGAAATCCACGCCTTGGTTGGCATTCTAGCCACCCGAGCAACACCTTTTATGCGCGCGTAAACGATTTGCTCAGGCATCGTGGTCTTTATATAAATTCCCGCTGTTTCTAGTCAACGGAAGGTCCGGAACTACGTAGATTCTGGCTTAGGTGAAGCGAGGGAACATTTCGGCAGACGCGGTTCAATTTGTTCCAGTCAGTGACGACAATTCGGGAACGAGCCGAAGGTAGAAGTAACAATGGCGGCCGTTTCCTCACAGACGGCGGACCAGGAGTGGCTGCTGTGTCGCCTGAGGGAGTGCCTGGATCCGGGAAACACCAACCGCGTTGTCGCGGAAGAGGCGCTGCGACAGGCCGAAGCGATGGCAGGTGTGTCGCGCGGCGATGCTAGGTGTGTCGCAAGTCGGTCCGTGTGTCGCGAGACGATGATCGGTGTTTCACGAGACGATGATAGGGGTTTGGCGAGACGACGAATAGGTGTTTCGCCAGGCGATGGTTAGCGTGCTGTGCGGCAGTAAGAGCTCTTTCCTGTCATTGCTAGCCGCCAGAATGGCTACACTACGATATTTTGTTTCCAACCAGCTTCGCCAGCTTCATCGCTCTGACCGCCACATGGCTTGTCAAAACGCGAATCACAAGCCACTGCTGGCCACCACGTGTACCCCGATGGCTCGCGTTCATGTGAGCAGCACTTCTCTGTTCATGCTTCATCCCACGCCCCTCCTCCCTCGCCTCGTCCCGCATCTCGCGTCCCTTATCCCTCGTCCCTCGTGTGCTCAAGCTCCTCTCTTCATGCTCCAGCTCGCTCGCTGTTCATTGCCAGCCTATCCCTACCCCTCTCTGCCCTTCACGCGTCTCCCGTCACACCCCATGCGGCGCCGTGCAGGCTATGCGCCTGCGCTGATGGGTGTGGCGCGCAACAACGGCCTCGACGCGGGGACACGACAAATATCCTCCTCCTCGCCCACTTCACTTCAACCCGCCTGAAATGCACTTCTGACCTCACTTCAAGCCCTACCTACCTAGCTCCCGCACTTGGCCTCTTTGCCCCACCTCAGACTCCACTGGGAGGGAATCCACTTCAGGTTTCCTTTTCCGCCACTGTCCATTTAGCAATCCGTCGTCGCACTGTTTTTTCGTCTGGAATTGGTTTCTGCCAATTCCGTGCGATTGCCTTCCCCCCCTAGTTATCCACCCTTCTCAAAAGGTTTCCTTAACCCGTCTTAGTCCTTGCAACTTCCTTTCGTTTCCCGTCTCCTGTGCGTCCCTTTCTTGGCTCTCCTCCTTCCCACCTCTCTCGTCTCCCCCCTCTCCGTGCCATGTTCCCCCGTCTCCCTAACATCATCACTTTGGTCGCTGTTATATCTCCGATATTCCTGGCGATTCTTCTCGTGCTCTCCGGTCTGCACCTAGCGGCAGTGCTGCTGCGGCAGGTGGTGCAGAGGCACTGGCAGGCGGGTGACGAGGAGGAGGAGGAGGGAGAAGGGCGAGGAAAGAGATTCACTGTATCGCCGGAGGACAAGGTAAACTGGGGTAGGGGAGGTGGTGGGATGGGGACGGTGGGAGGGGAGAGGGGGGAGGAAAGGAATTCACCGTGTCGTCAGAGAACAAGGTGAACTGTGGAGTGGGGGAGGAAGGAGGGGGGAGGAGAGAGGGGAGAGGGGGAATGGGGGAGGAAGGGAGAGGGGAGGGGGGAGGGTGAAGAAAGGCGAGGGAGAGTGGGGGGAGAGGGGAGAGGAAAGGTAAGGGATGTTTAGCTTGCGCCTTTTGCACCTAACAGCACAGCAGTGCCGCTGCAGCAGCTGGTGCAGAGGGGGTTGCTCCAACAATATCCATCATGCCATTGCCACGTCACCACTTTGTGCCATGCTGGCAGGCAGCGGTGCGGTCGCTCCTCCTGCAGGGGCTGGTGGACGAGGAGCCCAAGGTCCAGTCAGCCGTGGGCCTCGCGATTGCACACGTGGCATCGTGTGATTGGCCGGAGGAGTGGCCGGACCTGATGGATCATCTCATGGCCGCCCTGGCCGACACGGCTCACCCCAACAGAGGTGTGGATTCAACGGGGGAGGGAGGGGGGGGGGGGGGGGGGGGAAGAAGGAGAGGGGGGGATGGCCTCCGGAGTTGAAAGTACGGCCTTTGGAGCTGATGGATCATCTCATGGCCGCCCTGGCGGACACCGCCCACCCCAACAGAGGTGTGGGGGGGATGGAAGTTGGTTCGGTTCGAGGAGGGGATGCGGATGCGATTGTGGTTATGAGGGGTTAGTCTTTGGACCTCATGGGCTTTTTGTCTCATGGTCGGCCTGGTAAACGGTGTGTGGCTCGAGAGAGGTGGGAGGACGGGAAATGTTGCTGGATAGAAGGTGGGTGTGAATTTGCAGGTAGTGAAATGGTGGGTGCAAATGGTTGACAGATTCAGGTGTTTATGAATATGGTTGTGGGCGATAGTTGTGACCTCATGGCTCACCAATCTCTCTCTCGTATTCCGTCCCTCACCCTTCCTCACCACCCCTCCTATCTTCCTTCCTTCCTTCCTTCCTTCCTTCCTTCCTTCCTTCCTTCCTTCCTTCCTTCCTTCCTTCCTTCCTCTGCCCTCTTGTGTGAGCAGTGGCAGCGGCAGTGGAGTGTCTGTCTCTCTTCGCAGAGGAGATTGATGACTCACAGCTGCCTGCGCTCGTGCCCAAGCTCTTCCCTCCCATCTTCGCCATCGTCTCAAACCCCAACCAGGTGGGCCTAACCCCTAACCCACACTGGGTGCAACCTACCCCAGGTGAAACCCATACTAGGTGCAGCCCACACGCATCAGGTGATCACGCTTGAACTTCAGATCGAATTAGCTATTTTCTTTTTAGGATTTGCTTTGCTGGCCGATCTCATATCTCTCCTCCACACCCTCCTCTGTTGTCTGTCTTACAGAGCTCCTACAAAACCCACTTTCCCCTCTGTACCCTCCATACCCTCCATACCCTCCTCCCTCCTCCCTCCTCCGCCACCCTCCCCCAATTCATCCTGTGCCACCACCCCCGCTGCGCCACCCCCCGTCCCTGCATCCCCCAGGCGTACCGCCCATCGGCGCGCAGGGGCGCTCTGAGCGTGCTGAGAGCAACCGTGGCCACCCTGGGCATCATGAGCGCCGTGTACCAGGTGAGGAGGGGTGGGTAGGTGGGTGTACCCTCTACCACGTGAGTGGGGGAGGGAGGGAAGATGGTGTACCATGTGTCTGCTCTCTTCCGTGCACCATGCAGGCAGTGCAGTGCTGTGGCCTGAGTTGACTCGCCAGTCTGAGCGTTTTGAGAGTCACCGTGGCCACTCTGGGCATCATGAGCGCCGTGTACCAGGTGAGGGGCGGGTGGTGGGGTGGTGTACCCTCTACCAACCAGGTGAGTGGGGTGTGCCGTTCCCTTCCGTGCACCATGCAGGCAGTGCAGTGCTGTGGTCTGAGTTGACTCGCTAGTCACCGGGGTGTGCTGAGAGCCACAGTGGCCACTCTGGGCATCATGAGCACCGTGTACCAGGTGAGGGGGGGGGAGGGGGTGGGGGGGTGTCTTGTACCAGGTGAGGGGTGATTGGGGGGGCTGGGTCCCATTTTATTCTGAGTCGACCCTAAACACTTCTCGCCTCCCACCCGGTCGTTCTGAGCCGAACCTAAACACTTCTTCCCCCTCTCCTTGGAGCGCAGGAGGAGAGCAAGGCGATTATCAGCTAGTCCCTGCCTGCGTGGGTGGCTCAGTTCTCTGCCATCCTCTCCTCGCCCCGTCCCACCCTTTCTCCGTCACCCCCCTCTCTCTCTCTCTCGGAGCGCAGGAGGAGAGCAAGGCAATTATCAGCGAGTCCCTGCCTGCGTGGGTGGCGCAGTTCTCCCCCATCCTCTCCTCGCCCCGTCCCACCTTTCCTCCGTCACCCCTCTCTCTCTCTCTCTCGGAGCACAGGAGGAGAGCAAGGCGATCATCAGCGAGTCCCTGCCCGCATGGGTGGCTCAGTTCTCTGCC